TTGTCTTCTTATGTTTATCTGTGAGTCTGTTCTAGGCATAGGCCCCTTGTGAGGTATGGGAACTGATTCATAGTAAGTGAATCTCTATGAATCACTGGTCTGCCTGAGCCTGTAGTGACCTATAAGGCCAGAGATACCTCAAAAGGCAAGATAAGGCCACAGCTGTGGACACTTTGCTCAAACATCGATTAAATAGAAAATACAGCTTCAGGAATTACTCCTACAGTCTCACACCTACCATGTCTTCATGATAAGGTGGTTCTCCTAAATTGACATGATTCGTTACTTGGAGACATCCTTAAAGTGACTCCCAAGATCCTGTTCATTGCCTGCACTTTCCTCAGTTTTCCCTCCCTCGGTTTTGGACCTAATAAAAATGGGCAGTCCAGAGAAGTCTTTGTCTTAGCCCTCAGTGCCTTGAACTCAGATAAAGGGTTTTGACACTCCTGTAGCTCTAAAACATAGCACTTGTCTCATTCACTGTACTTCACTGTACACTCATTTCGAAGACTGGGGATCTAAGTCAGGACCTGATAAATTACCCCTGTAAAAGGGCTTCAATAGCTGCATCCTAGATCCATCCTCCTAGAACCCATCCTGAATTTCTAAAATCTATTTTTTATTTTCAATAAAATTCTCCTAACTTCTTCCCTTACTTTGCAATTTTATTCTTCGATGCTGTGAGTCTACAAAGTTGGCACATTTGACACCTAAGAAGTCAGGACTTATACTTCTCCTGCATCAGTCTGATATAAAATGTGTTTTAAAGGCCATGTATTAAAGGGTTCATTGTGATTTGCTTGATTGTTCTGAATTTAACATTACCATGCACTTTATGACCTCCTCAGCCTAATGATCCATGAATATATATGAGGAAGGAGGTCACAAGGGGCCTCTTATAGTGAAATCTAATAATAGGTACCAGTCATAACCCCACTTAAGTTTCTGCTTTTGGGTTGGCCTGAGGTGACCAGATTTTTCTATACCACACCATTCTGTAATTACTATTTCATATAATTCAATTTTAATTCAGCTAATTGTTTTTGTTTCTTACTTTTAAAATTTTCCCTTTTCTAACTTTTTAAAAGAGAATAAAACCAAAATAAAACAGAAGCCAATCAAAACAAACCAGTGTAAGTGATACAGGACTTCAATACAAAATCAATAATAGTTACATAATGTTTCATTGTCTTCCAAATAGCCTCAGATACCTTCAGACACAGCAAGAATCAAAACAAACAGAACAGAATAGAACCAATGGGGGAAAAAAGTGAATGAAATAAAAGATTTCAAAATAAGACAATAGTAAATTCAAAATGGCTTTCATAACATGTCTTGTTGTCTTTGAAATAGCTGCCCATGCTATCGGATGTAACAAAATCAAACAAAACAAAAGAATAAAACCTAACCCAGCAAAACAATGAAAATGATATGGGATTTCAAAACAAGATGATAGTGAATTAACAATGGCTACCACCTTCAAAAGGAGATTCCCCCATAGATGCCATAGTGTGTACTGTTATCTTCTGAATAGATGATCAGACCACTGCAAAGTCAGTAAAACACCAAACATCACAAGTATCAAATTGCATTTCACCTCAATAGCTATTATCACAGCCTGTGTTTCTCCAAATCAGGCAGTGGTTTTTAAAATTTTCTTTCATTCTTTGCTTTTTGTTTCCTTTTTTCTTCTCTCTCTTTCTCTCTGTGCTTTGTTTTGACTTTTTGAGATATGTCACCATGTTGTTCAATTTGGCTCTGAACTCCCTATATAGCCTGGGGTGCCCTTGAACTCATGGTGATCTTTCTTCCTCAGCCTCCTAAGTTCTGGGTTTAAAGGTATACACCACCACATCTAGCTGTTTTTCTTCTTTCTTCTTTTCTTGCTTTCAATGTTTATTCTTTCCATTTTTTATTATGGCATTAAGTACAGGCATTACATAGGTAGGGAAATTTTTCTACAGCTAAGTTACACTGCTAATTCTCAATTTATTTTTTTAAGTAAAAAAACAATATTGAAATGCTGCACTGTTTATTATATTCATCCTGATTATGAAGCCTGACCTAAAATCATGGCACGCAAAACCCTCTTTTCTTTCTCATTGATCTTTTCTCCTCTTGATTAAAAAAAATAGAGCATCTTTAGCTCTTAACTCAGAGTATTAATGCTAGTTCAAATTTGATACATATTCCCTATTTTTGGAGACATCTATCCTGGTATCCCAAACCTATCAGAAAGAGAAATACAACTTCCGATCCTCTTAGTTCCAAATTATGATAATATATATACTTTCACTTTAAAGGAAGAACAGTTAATGAAACCATGTCACACTTTCTCATGTGTTTCCCCTTTCCTCATCTTTCAAATAAGACCAATAATTATGACAGCCTTGAGAAGTAAGAACTCATTTGTTTGAAATTCTTAGGCCCACATCCATTAGTAGGCATAAGGCAAAAATAAGAGACTGGTGAGACTACATCAGAAAGACAGGATCAGTGATAAGGTTTGGTGAGAATATGGAGAAAACTCACAAACTCTTATTGCAAATATATCAAATTGTGTTGGAAAAGTCTGTCAGTTTACTGTCAGTTACTGTCAATACATCCCTGAATCAAAATATAGTACTTCACGCTCTATAATATATAAAGAAAAGAGGAGTACTTTGGCTCTTTCATGGCAAGGGAGAAAATTTTATATGGTATTAGTGTTCTTGTAGACAGAATTCTGAGGTTATGCATGGCATCATATGTTAACAGATTGAATATACGTGTGTGTGTGTGTGTGTGTGTGTACATGTTGTGGACTTCTATTTTTTAGTATTCAGTAGCATGGAAGTATGACAACCTAATATATCTACTTCTAATTGCCTCCCAAATGCTCCAACTATGCACAGATACATCCTTTTAGTATCTCCTTAAGGGTTAGATTTCAACATGTACTTCAAATGGTACATTCCATGTCCAAAACATAAAAATTCACATGTTACTCATCAATGCATATATATCAATCCATATATATATATATATCCATATATACATGAGTGTTATAATATATTGTTCATGAAAGCAAATAAGTAGCACCAATATGAATGTCTATCAAGACTGAATGGCCAGTAATATAAGGTGACTCAATATGATCCATCAATTGCAGAACAGCCCATTGTGTAAGGTAATTGTGGAACAGGATGTTATTCAACCATCAAAGGTATTATATTCTAATTCAAGCAAGACGCTTGAGAATATGCTTCAAAGAGAGCCACAAAGGCAAAGGTTGAATTGTTCACCACATATGAAATGGCAATAACAGAAAAATACATAATAGTGAACAGTTTCTAGCATGAAGGAGAGTTTATTGGTGCTAAGTCTTTAGAAAAAAATTAAAGAAAACACTTTTTTAAAGAAAACAATTCTTTAGGAGAAAATGCAAGTGTTTAGAAAGTCTTCTAAATTGAGGAAAGAGATATTTATTTGTGTTTTAAGTAAGCAAATAATAAGTTAAGTGAATTATACTCTACTAAAGTGGGCAATAGCTAAAACAACAGCTAAGCAAAGAAAATACTCAAAAAACTTGGAAAGCCATTAGTAACACATCTAGGTACAATAAGCCAAGGAATAAATGCAGAAGAGAGTGTGAATTTGAGAAAGTGAAGAACAGATCAATGAGTGTAGTTGCAAATAATAACACAGGGATCAGAAAAAAACCTATAAATTATTTTCTCTTATGTACTTAGTATTCAGATACTTAGAATGCTTGTAAAATAGACTACATAGTTATTACAACACAGTGATAACTTTTAAAAAATAAACTACTACATCATGGGATCTTCCTTCAATTGTGAAGTATAAATATTATGTAAGTATAGTAGAGAAGGTATAGAAACTACTGAGAAGGGATAATTAAACAAATGTGGTACTTTTTTTTTGTTGCTAATGCAGGACATGGATTCCAGGCACTCATTCCCATGAAGCATGCTCTCTACCAGTAAGCAACATTCCCTGGCCTCCTCCATGGGATTTACATGCAAATATATTATTAAAGGAACATGTATCAAAAACACATCACGAAATGAGTGTTAAAATATATATATAGTTAATGATCCTGTAAGCATTGTCAATTTTTAAAATATATAACATAGAGTTACATTTTTAATTTTAATTTTATCCATTTAGGAAAACTTAAGGAAAAAAGTAAGTGAAAGATGAACAAATGGGGTAAAACAAGTAGAAAGTGAAGATGGTAAAACACAAAAGAAAATACATGTAATAGCTAAAGATTATGACCACTAAGTTTTAGATTGAAAGTCTTTGAATTTTGCTTGAGCTGGCCATGAGCTCAAGATCTATTGGAACTGCTTCTGGCAGATTTCTGATGCACACCAGTGTACCAGGCTGATCAAGGACATTTTAGAAGAAAGAGTACAAAAACTACGAATGATTAAATAGGTAAAAATTACAAGAAAAATAGCATTCATAGAAGTCCCTCATTGCACCCATTCCCATTATGTTTACTAGTGGTCCATGAAATGTTTAGGGAACGTTTTCTGGGGCAGTCTAACATGTCTGTAACCCAAGGCACTCATGGGGCTTAGGAACAAGGATCAGAAGTTAGAGTGAAGCCTGGGAAGATTCAAGAGAACTTTTTACAACAATAATGAAAAATAAAACTACAAGCTTCAGGGTATGTAGCTCAGTAGTAGAATAATTTTACTAAGTTCTGTTTTAAAGTTAGTATCTAGTATATTTTTAAAAAGTAAAACATAAATTTAAAAAACACTTGTTCTGCACATTTCATAAGTTTAATGCAACTTTCATGTATAAATTACGTATCATGTTTACAAGATAAGAAAATAAAGGCCTACTGCACATATGCTCACACATTTTAAAATCTAAGATGAAGTATCTCATAATGAAAAACAAGGTGTACTAGGCAATAGTTTTGAATCTGAAGATTCGATTACATGGCAGCAGAATTCCCTATAGCATGAAAGGCCAAAGTTCAAACTACAGTACCAAAAACAATTATATCACAAATATATGTTATTGCTATATTTCATGAAAGATAAAATGGTTCAGTATCAAGAACTTATCAGAAAATTCAACTCAAAAATCAGCAATGGAGAGCCTCTTCTGAATATCTGAGTCTTATCAATCAATATATTTTCTGAAAGTATGAATATCTTGATAAAGCACATATGTCACACAGCAAACATATATGAAATGTCCATACAGTTTCCTAAAACAAGGAGACACACAGTCCTTACTGTTCTTTTCATGAAACCAAAATTCGTGCTGTGGCATTATAAGGTAAAAGTAAGAAGGAAAGAGAGAAAGAGAAAGAGAAAGAGAGACAATTTATAGAAGGATTGGAATGTGAGACACAATTATTGTTCAGTGATTAAAAAAGCAAAACAGTATTTTTAAACAATGATAAGGACACCTAATGTTGCCAAGGAGAAGATCATCTAAAAATTGTAATGTTTCTTATACCTTTAATACTCACTTCACTGAAACCATGTTGGTTAAATAAAGCTAAATGATTCACAATTGCAATATAAATTATAATAAAACAACACTCATGCATTTTGCTTTCAGGATCAGCTTACATAAAATATCTAAAAAGGACTCTAAATGTCTTTTAAATTGTTGATATAACCATTACTGCCTACCATATTAGAAATAAAAATGAAAAACCAAAGTGTAGTGATTAACAGACTTATAACAGTAAAACAATACATTTGTCTTAACTATTATAACAGTTTACAAACGTAACTACATTTAGAAAATATTTTCAGTGAAAATATGAGCCTTGTGTAATATTTGCAAATACACCTAATGAATGGTTAAAACGACCAAACTATTTTAAGTCAGTCTGTGTAGATTTCTCAAACCTATCAGTTATTTACTTGGATTCTCGGTAAGAAACTGAGACCACCAACGTGCAGGTTAAACTTCTGGTATCTGGACTTCCGCAGCTCCTTCCTCTTGAAGCAGGCACCAGCGAGGTACATGAAAATCTTCACGTTGCTGATTTCAGTCTCTTTAGTAGTCTCTGAGGAGGTGGCAATGACAGATTTCTGGAGTGTCCTATGAAGAGGAGCACAATTGAGGTAAAGAGCCCAGGCCTGAGCAGCAAGGTCTGGGCCATTGCTTTAAGAACCCATCCTGCGCCTCTGTGGCCTGCGGGGATGATCAAGCCCCCAAGGGTCACCAAGGCTGTGAGGGTGGCCAAGACAGTGGGCTGACCAAGGCCATGAGGATGACCAAGCCCACAAGGCTGACTAAGCCTGCGAGGGTGACCAGGCCAGTGGGGATGATCATGCCGTCCTGGAGTGAGGCTGACTTACAACTTCCTCCCTGGCTAACTGCTGACCTATGACCAGGACAGGGCTGCGGCTATGGTGGGCCACGCCGTCTTGGACATTTTAGCCTTCGTGTTGCCCTTTTTACCAGTGCCAGTGGCACCTGTCCTCTGGGCTTCGGGTTTTTTTCTTTAGTATTTGACATCTTAGGTTTTTCACCTGTGTCTTGCAAACTGGGAAAGAGAACTAAGTGCCCTGCTTCCAGTCTACACCTTTTATCTATCTATCTATCTATCTATCTATCTATCTATCTATCTATCTATCTGACTATCTATTTTTGGTATTGGGAATTGAACTCATGACCTCATGCTTGCCAGGCAGGCGAGTGTCACTGAGCTGCATCTCTAGCCCAAAAATAACATTATTTTACTCGAGAAAATACCTCCTCATATATAATAGCAGAGGAAAGGTTTCAATGACTGTTGGAAAAGGACTAACACAACACCAGGAATTTCTGTATCCAGAATTACTTTGTAATATCCAGGAATGGTAGAAAAATTTGAAACACATTCTCAAAGTAAAATAATGCATGCAAAGAAGATGCTAAGGAAGATGATGTAAATATGTAGAGAATAATTATCCTTGTTGTATGTGATGATGCAATATAATATGAATTCTTCAAATTACATCCTCAATATAATTGTATTTCCAATACAGGTAAATTAATGAATAATTTCATAAATAAATCCTTTAAGTTCCTTTGGAAAACAGAGAGGATAATTCTATCTAACAGAAATCTTCACTTGATCTTAGTCAAAAGGTTGAGATGCAGTATAATACAAATCTCAAAAGAAGTAAAAAGGAGACACTTTCCTCCTAATGCCTGGGCCAGTTGTTTAATTTTCAATCTAGGCACACATGTTAAACAGCTAGCTGTTACTGGCCTTGTCATTTCTCACGTGACACACAGATTTGTATAACACAGTAATTTTTACAAAAACATTTTGATCATTTCTCAGTAATGTCTGACTGCATTGTCCAATTCCTACATGGAACTCCCAGGAATTGGAAGAATATTTATTATTTAAGAGAGAGCTATAGATGGGAGCCAAAGCAGGATTTGGGGATTATATCAATTGGGGTCTCATGAAACTATCATGCTAATAGGATCTGTAGAAAGGTGCCTTAGAACTCTCAGGATGATAGAGAATACTATCCTGGACTGAGTGGCTTAAGGAATGTATCTTTCTCCCACTTTGCAGCCTCAGGGGTATAGGATATACATGTCAGCTAATTAGCTTTCTGGCAAAGACTATCTTGACTTGCAAATAAATGCTTCCCAGTGTCTTCATTGGGTGGAGACACATCTAAGTGTCTTCACTTCCTAGGAGATACTAATACCTTTATGGAATGCAGAACAAATTTATATCCAGCAGAACTCAGATTCAAATAATGTTGCATTGTGGATCAGGGCTTCAAAACATTATCCGAGGATGTTCATTCATTTTAGGGAAGCAAAATGAACACAAGAAAGTTCAGAAAAAGACTTTAGGCATATCCTCAGAAGAGTAGATTCTGAAATAGAAAATAGTCAATAAAGTTCAACAAAACTGGACTTAGAAAGGAAATGAAAGAATTCTATATTTGAAAAAAGATTCAAACACTGATGAATGAAAACCATATCATCACAATGATCACTGCAAAAAGAGAAAAGAAAATCAGAACAAAAGCTGTAGTGGTGATGACAACATGCAAGAAAGAAATCATTTTAACAAGCAGATACTCAGTGAAATGTAACTAGTGGCACGATCATGCTTTATGTTCCTTAAATTTGGAAGATAGGTCCAGGGACTTCTCACTGTATCAGAAATCACCATGAACTCTTATCAAATGCCAGAGACTGACTTTCACAGCATATTTTATTTAAGCTAATGAACTATTCTATATGTACATCCACATATGCTTACTTCTCAAGGTTAGATTCTTCTGAGAAGGACACAGCTTTTAGGAGAATGAGGCATAAAGGGCACCCATAATGAAAACCATTCCTCAGTCAAGGGCTCTGTGCTCACATTATTTCAGGTGTAGTTCTATGCCCCACTGAGAGTCCATAAGGAAAGCGTGTGCTTCATAGATAACTGCACCCTACAAAAAGAGACTTCATCCTGAAGGAATGTTCAGAACACAGAATTCCTCAGTTATTCATATTTTTATGTTTTTAATCCATGAGGAACTCATATCAGTGTTGTTTAACTTTTTCATAACGGAATATTTTCTGAACAAAGAAAATATGACATTTGCTGTCTGTGTCCCTTCCTAGGTTTTATACTATGATGATTCATACAGTCATACTTCTCTTATTACTAAAAAAGTATATAAATAGAATTACTGTGAACCTTGCTTATGTGCCATTCTCAGTTTATGGGGATCCTCTGATGCATGATAGTCTTGCCTCAGTTCCATCTGATGCAGGGATTAAGGAAATGCACCAGGCTTGAATTTTTACATCTTAAATGACATGGGGACCATAACGATATTTAAAGGTCTGAATTAAGTCAGTTTTAACACTGGGGGTTGAACCAATGTGTGCTTTACAATTGGAGTATATCTCAGCCTTTTTACTTTATTTTTCTATCGGCTCTCACTCAGTCCTCTCGATCAGATTCTTACTTGCAGCATTCCTTCCTCAGTCTTCCATGCGGTCGGGATTGCAGACGTGCATCATTATGACTGGGAAGAATTTTTATATTAACATTGTGGACAGGTCAGTGTGTTCAGAGAAAATACCCATCCTTTTCACCTTGGGATATCTGGTCTGGATTGCAAAATGCACTATGAAAATTGACAATAATCAGCAGGAATGAGCTAGAGCCTGCCAAACTGTCAAGGATGTAAAAAGCTGTGCTATCTGTGCACTGTAGTATATTCTATGACTTACATGAGATATTCAATATTTTATAATAAAATAGACACTGTTTTTGATGCTATTACTAGCCATCCATGAGGTGGTTATGTAGAGGTCTTGAGCATAATTTGGTGAGGTGGACTTAAACTATAATGATCACAAAATTAAGGATATTTATTATTCCTCACTTATTTTTTTGTCTTCACCATCAATTCATTAGAATATAACCAAATGAAAAATTCAACATCTTTTTTACTTACAGAGAACAGTGTCCAATACAATTGGGGAAAATGCTTCAGTGTTTGAATAGTAAAACATGTAAAAACAGGGTCAGAAAACCACAGTTGGCCTCACTCTCACTGATAGCCCAAGTCTCATGCTGTTGGTGAGACATAACGCATACTTCAATCATCAGAGAAAGGTCTTCCAGATTACAACAAAAATGACATTCTATACATTTATCTTTCAAACTGGCAGAGTATTTAACATTTCAGTCACTCACAAACCACTCCGCAACTTTAGTGCAGAGATACCATAGTGAAACAGCCTGGTGGAAAAAAGTTGCTCACCTCATGGCAACCAGGAAGTAGAGGGGCAGAGAAGGAGGATCCGGGGACAAGAATATGTTCTTGAATGTCATACACACAGCCATCTAGCTACGTGTATACTCCACCACCTCACAGCATATTTAGCCACAGAAGTCATCCATAGATGAGTCCACTGATGAGTGTAGTGTCCTCACAGTCCAGTTACTTCCCAAACTCAGGAGGATTTTGGCAGACATTGTAAACCTTAATGTTGGTACATTATACATTCAAATCATAAAACTAAGCAAAATTAACCTCCTCTTGCCAATATGATTGATGAATACATCTATGAATTAAAGTTTTCTTTCATGACATTCCTTTATTTTCCTAGATATGAAAGTAATATTTACCGAAGACAGAATGGCATTCCCGGCACTATGGAATAAAATAGAAGCAAATATCTTAGTATCCTGAATATCAGTCAACTCCCTTTAATTTTTTTTTCCTTTTTTTTTTTTTTTTTTTTTTTTTTTTGAGACAGGGTCTCACCATGCAGTTCAGGCTGGCCTTGAGCTCACTTTGTAGCCCAGGCTGGTCTCGAACTCGCAATGATACTCCCACCTCAGCCTCCCGAATGCTGAGATTTACAAGCGTGAGCCACCACACACGGCCCAGTCAACTCCCTTTAAAAGCTTCTTTCTAATTTGTCTCATGCACTATATTAATTTAGCAAAAATGTTGTAATTTACTCTATAAATTTATCACAGGATTGAATATTGACCAGCGCAGCTCCCCAATGAGACAGGAGACGCTTCAGGTGGGTAACAGGAACTGCCAACTTTATTGTTGCGGGTTCTGGTTTATATATCTGACTGTAGCCAATCAGGCTGCCACGAGGGCTGCCACGAGGAGGAAGGGCTGGAATGAGACGCGGGCTCTGGCTAATATACTCAGCTGTGGTGAATACGAAGTGAGCACGGGTTGACTAATTTGGAGAGGGATGTAGTGCATTGCGGAAGCTGGCGTGGTCCTTAGTCCCGGGTGGGGTATGGTATGTTGAGCACCTGCGCCCAACAAATATGAAGTGCTTCCACTTACAAAAATTGTAGTTGGTGAAGAATATGCCCATTTGTGCAGTTTTGCCATCTGAAAATATAAACATGTTTCAAAGAATCAAGCATTAAGTTACAAAGGTACTCAATTTTTGTTTATCAATTAAAATGTACACAAATATTTTTTAAAAAATATAACATGGTGAACATTAAATTAAGATTTAAGTGAAAGTTATGCAAAAAAACAAAACAAAACAAAAAGTAGTCTAGCACTGACCCAACAAATCTTGTTGAGAAAACATTAATTTGACCCTATTTAATTTGGATCTCAAAGTAAATGGGGATTACAGTTTTCAGATAATTACATGAACTAAAATTCTATAAAAAGAATGAACAAGCCTTCATACATATTCTACTAAAAAAGGCATAAAAAGTTACTTCAGACAAAACCATAAAACCCAAGGGCAAAACCATAGATCTGCAATATGTCTCAATATCTTTAAAATGTCTCCATCAAGTGAAGAAGGCAGAAAATTTTGTAATGAAACTTTCAAAATCAACATCATGTCTCAAGTGGACTCACTGAATATTGCACAATTATCTAACAAATGTAGAGTATGTACTCCTCTCAAAATCTTATAGAATATTTGCCTACATAGAATCATGTTCATGATAAAGAATTTAATGTATCCAAAGGATACATCACATAATATTGAAACAAAAGTAAAAATCAACAACACAAAATACTTAGGGTATGCCTAAGAATTAGAGATTAAACCACAAATTTTTACATGACATCTGTGCCAAATAAAAGGCTCAATTAAGTAACAAGTATTTCATAATGTATGAGAAGGAAGGTGCATTTTAGTATCATTTCAGGGACCTTGAAATGGGAATACTTCAAAAGAATTTAAAAGCTATGAACTTAGAAAAGAACAAATATGTAAACTTCAGAAAAAGAGAAATAACAGTGAAATAGAAATGAAAGTCACCGCACAAATTCTTTTTGTGTTCATTCAGATTATGGGCTACAACAAAGAAGAAGAAATGATTAGCACTATGTAAAAGCATTATTGAATAATTAGTTGTCATCCATTACGTTAAAAATCTCTAGAAAAAGCCTGAAATCATATTAATGGATGTAGAGAAAACACAGTGAAGAAAGAAAAAAGCAATACATATTGAGATTAATATAGAATACATCAAAATGTCTTCACTTGTATATAAAATCATGGTATATGTTGGAAAACATTAAAAGTACCAACAGAAAAAAAGCTAATGGAATTAGCTATCTATTGTATCAAGGTATATATCCCTAGCATAACTTACAAAAATCTCTCATATGATTATGCATCAACAATTATCACTACACTGGAAATTGTAGGCATTATACAAAATGCAACACACAATGATACAAAAAATTTCACAAAAGTTCAAACTCTATGTATGAGTTTCTGCACTAGCTGTACTAAACACAGGACAAAAACAAAAATAATGGTTAAACTTAGACAAATGTAAGGAAACTAGATTATTCTACACATGGACAAATTATATAATGCAAAAGCAAAAATCTGTAAAACACCAGATGAAAAAGTTATGTATCAAGCCAGGCGTGGTGGCTCACACCTGTAATCCCAGCACTTGGGAGGCTGAGGCAGGAGGATCCTTGTGAGATCAAGACCAGTATGGGCTACAAAATGAGCTCAAGGCCAGCCTGAACTGCACAGAGAGACCATGCCTTAAAAAAAAATTTGTGCATCAAAATTTTTTGCAATTTTTTCATAATTTGCACAACACCATTTTTTGTGATTCTTTGGAATTTTAAATTTATTATCATGGAAAAAAACCGATGTTTGTCTTTTTTGTTTGTTCCTTTGTGGATTTTTTTTTTTTTTTTTGTGGTCTTTTTGAGACAGGGTCTCTCTATGCAGTTCAGGCTGGCCTTGAGTACACTTTATAACCCAGGCTGGTCTTGAACTTCAAGGATTCTCCTGCCTCAGCCTCTGGAGTGCTGGGATTACAGGTGTGAGCCACCACATCCACTTTGTTTGTCTTTTTGAGACACAGTTTCATTATGCAGTTCAGGCTGGCCTTGAGCCCACTTTGTAACCCAGGCTAGTCTCAAATTTGTGACAATCCTTGTGCCTCAGCCTCCCGAGTGCTGGGATTTCAGGAGTGTGCCAGCAACATTTACATCTTGATCACATCAAAATTTTTTTAAAAATAGAAATAACCTAAAGCCCAGAAGCAGTGGGATATGGAAACAAAGTGACTTAAAATGGCCAAAGATTGAGACAAAGAAACCAGAAATAATCTTTTCAGTATACAACATTGCTAAATTTTCTTTTTGAGACAGGGTCTTGCTATGCAGTTCATGCTGGTCTGGAAATCACTATGTAATCCAGGCTGGCCTCAAACTCAAACTCATAAACTAAAATTCTATAAAAAGAATGAACAATCCTTCAGTTTGAGGCCAGCCTGGATTACACATAGTGCTAATCATTTCTTCTTCTTTGTTGTAGCCCATAATCTGAATGAATACAAAAATAATCCTCTTACCTCAGCCTCCTGAGTGTGAGGATTATAGGTGTGCCCAAAAATACCTAACCAAGTATTCTGAATTAACTTCAATTATTAACTTACACACAATTCCAGAGTTGAAGCCATGTAACATTCTGCTTGAAGACTGTCAAGGTACAAAGAGCTTCCAATAAATAAATTTTGTGGGGGAATTTAAATGAAATCAGAGATGCACTGGCAGTAACTACAAGTGATCAGTTCACCAGATTCCACACCACTCAAGTTAAACAGTACCCTCTTAACCGTAGCTCCCCTGACTGTAAACATCCTGAGTGGTCATCTCATCTCTTATCTCCCATCTCCATCTCACCAAAGTCCCACAGCCACAACTTTCAGGCTACGTCATATTTTGTTATCCTGTTTGTTTCCTAATCCCTTACATTCTAAACATGAGACACGTCTAGAATCTCTTCTCAATTATAGTTATGCAGCCACAGCTCTCCCACCTTAGTTTATAATTTCCCAAATGTGATTAAACTGTCAGGCCTTACGTTTCTTACGCTTCGCATTCTTTCCAGTTCAGCCCCTAGACCAAGGACAAGTCCTACCCACGCTTTTACCCTTTCAGAGGGGAGAATAATTGCCCCCTGTAACTCCACCGCTTTTTGTCTTTCTACCATCTCCTTGGTGTCACTATCACTCTAACATTGTTCAAGAAAGTAAATATATTTTGAAAGATGTACAGAGAGACAGAGAGAAAGGGAGAGAAAGGGAGAGACCTAGAACTTCTGGGCCATAGCAGAGCCTCCCTCAGTCTAGTGTGTGTGCTGATGGACTGAGGATGTGTGTTCACCCTGTTGAGTTCACAGCCAGCAGACATCCATAGGAGCATGTCCGGTGTGACTCAGTGAGGTTAAACAAGCAGAGTAGTGGGGTGACAAGGAGGCTGGGTATCCATCTGGCAGCCTGACAGTGGAACAGACAGATGGGCACGTCACAGCACAGGTGGAGTGAGAAGCTCCCCCGTGGCCAGGAGGGACATGCTGTGACAGGAAGGCCAAGGGGAGTGGAGGTGGTCTATGTGCCCGCAAATGATGTGTGGCTGGGTGGACGGATGGCAGGGCGGGGGGCTTCCCGCCTGCAGATGTTCAGTGAGATGGCCAGCTGTCGTTGGGAGGCAGCTGAAGGCACATTGCTTCTTTGTGGAAAGCTGCGATGCTGCTCTCATCCTGATATGGCAGCATCAACAACCTCTACCTTCCCAGTCTGTGCTCCCCTGTCACCACCATACCCCAGCCCTCCTGCCCTGCCCTTGTGGTGTGTCTTGTCTCATGTCCCCCATGGGTGCCCACCTGTCTAGTCACTGGCCAGGGGGCCCCAGTAAGTTTGGATTCCTCTCTGATAGGCAGGCTATTGGAGACCTTTACAAAGTGGCTCTGAGCAGGATTTAAAATGAACCAATTGGCTTTCTGTTTTATCTGTTGAATCTTTCCTAGGCCTAGGCCCCTTGCCTGGTGATGGGAGCTGATTCCTAGTAAGTGAACTTCTATGAACCACTGGTTCTGCCTGAGGCCTGTAGTGGCCTGTGATGCCAGAGATACCTCAAAGGGCAAGATAAGGCCACAGATGAGACACCTGGCTCAGACATCCACGAATTAGAAAGAGACTGCAGCTGCAGGCATCTCACACCTGCAGATTCACACCTTCCGTAAATGTCATCCTGGAAATGAGGGGGCTCTCCTAAATTGGCATAATTGACTACTTGAAGAAGTCTTTGCAGTGACTTTCAAGGTCATACTCATTTCCTGGGCTTTCCTCAGTATCCCCGCCCTTTCTTTGGACCTGATCGATAGGGGTGGCCCAGAGAAG